CCAAGTGCCCAAACTAAAAGGCCTTCCATCACAGGGTGTTACCTGGTGCTGGGACTTCCGTCCTCCGGGTGTGGGACTTCTGGGGTGGTGGGACTTCTTCCCCTGCACCGTCCCTGGCCTTCAGCTGCCCCCGGAGAGGCAACTGGAGGCCAGGGAGGAGCAGGAAGGAGGAGGAAGAGGCGTGTGCCTCTTCTTCCTCCCCCCCCCATGGCCTGGGGGAAATGGCTTCGCATGTCATCTTTGGCACACATGCCATAGGTTTGCCATCCCGGCCCTAAGCAGTTTTCAGTGTGCAAGCTAATTGCCCCCAACAAGCTGGGTACTCATTTTAGCGACCTCAAAAGGATGCAAGCCTGAGTTGAGCTTGAGTCCCTGGCTGGTATTGAACTTACAACCTTATGGTTTGTGAGTGAGTGGCTCCAGTACAGGAATTTAACCAGTGCACTACCAGGCAATGTGCCTTCACGTCCTTTCTGACATATGGCAATGCTAAGGTAAACCTATTACAAGGTTTTCTTGACAAGATTTATTCAGAGGGGAGTTCCTGTTGCCTTCATCTGAGGATGAGAGAGAGTGACTTACCCAAGGTCACCCAGTGGATTTGAACTCTGGACTCCAGAGTGGTAGTCCAAAGCTCAAACCATACACCACTGGAAACCATAGTTAAGTTTAATTATCAATGCCAATAGACATCTACATGAAGGAGCAAATCTGTTTGTAGGAAAAGATATGTGGAGAGATTGTATATTGCTTAAACTAGCTTCTGTCTTTTTAAACCATGGTGCTTGTACTCTTTCGCGCTTTAGATTTATTGGAAAAGGCAGGTAAAAATAACATTTTGAAATGTTGTGTCTTATTTAATGTTTCTTGATACTGAAAACTAAAAGCTTAATCGTGATGAGATTTAATTAAATTCTTCTACCAAGTTATTCCTGTTATCTTTGAAGTACAAATAAGCATTTTTCTACTGATGCTTACTTAAAATGGAATTTGGTTTACATATTAATATTCTTTCTTATGGTTTTGTATTTACAAAGATATCTTTGCATGAAATGTTCTCCTATCAAGCAGCAAGTAATACCTCCAGAGAAAATACGCTCTCAAATAAAAGGTGATATTTTTAAAAATTATCTTCTCTCTTTGTGTGTATTTATCTTTTTCTGATTCATTCTTCATATAATCTCTCTTATAAGAACATTGTCTGGGACAGCAGCTGCAAATGGAATACACTGGGTCAAAGAACACCATCTGCATTTGCTAGAATTAATACTCTCAACTTATTTTCTCAAATGGATTTACTCTAGTTGGGAATAGCAATTGGATTTAGGCCCAGAATGTTAGTTTCTTCACTTATTGATTAAGCTTTCAAGGATGTGCAGTTACCCATGGCACTTGAATAATCTGAGTTGCTTTTTTGTTGGTTGTTAGATCTACTGACTAAAATAAAATTAAAACACTTATATCTTGCAGCAGTTCCACAGTGCAGTTACCACTACTTGCACCTGCGAGCCCTACGATGCCTGCTATATCTCAAAGAGAGAAGGAATTGCAGGTTAGTATGTTAGGCAAAATGTTTCAGCATTTGACTTTGTATAATTGTTTAGAAATTGTAAATTGTGTTTTAAACAACAAAATATGGGTGTATTTTATGTATAAGTTAAAATGAAGGTTTCAGGAAAAAAACCTTCTTTGGTTCCTTTATGGATAAAGAAAGAAAAATGCACCATGCCTTTATTTATAATTGATATCCATGTGTATTGTGGAAGTATTTCCTCTTACATGAGTGGAAAGTCGATGTTTCTTTGAAGATGCAGCCTAGTTGGGTTTTCTGTCAGTGACTATTTCTTAAAATAAATAAATGAATAAAACTTTTTAAAAAAATTAGCATTTACTTGTCTTTCATCTTCAACAGACAGTGCTGTATGGGAAATTAGTGGCAGCCAGGCAGAAATTAGCCAGTGAGAAGGACATTCCTCCAGCTGTGCTAGCAACAAATAAAGTTCTGGTTGACATGACCATGATAAGGTACATTTTTCACTTTGAATAAGTAATTAAAATCTAATCCCAAACCTAATTTATGCTATAAAAATGAGGGGTGGAGACTATTAATTTTTTCAAGAGGGGAAGATGGTATTATGTGACTGCCATTTCTTATAATATGTATGCTTTAGTGTCAGCTGAGCTGAAAAAAAGCCCTGGAAAATCCATTTCATCAGAGGCAACACTATGGTAGAAGAAATGTGTGTGTGCATGCAGGTGATGGTTGTCATCCAACTTTCTGCTTGTTCGCTACCTATCATCTGTCTCCAGCCTTGAAATGTTAAAGCCAGAATGCTACAGTGTAGGCATAGTGGGTTATCAACATTGTAATGAGGAATAATTTCTCAGTTTCATCCCTGTTATTGTATTCCTCTAATAAATCTCTAAATCCATATCTGTTTAAGGCATAATTTTAAATTGCTGCTAATTAAACTACCTTTTTAAAAATATCGTCCAAAGCTAGTTGTACTCAGCTGAATCAATCTGTGGTGTTTGGATTTTGTTGACTTTTATTAAGTGGACAGTTAGCTTTAATTAAGCTAATGGGCTTGAGATAAATAGCTTTATTGTGATGTCAGCAATGAATTTGGTAGACTTGGCCTGTGGATGTTTTCCTAAATACCCTAATTATCCCTAATAGTGAGTTACACATAGAACTGATTTGTGCTTTAGTTGCTCTTTTGCATGAAGAGTGGAGGGCACTCAGATACAAATGAGTCAAAGAATAGTTCAGTACAGGGGTAGGCAACCTTTCCCCTTTAAGGGCCGAGGGACTTCAGCTCCCAGAATCCCAGGAGCTTCAGTAGTCTTACTCTCACTCCTTCATCTGCCTCTTAGGCTTTGCATAGCTCTACAGGCAAGTGACTTGTATCACTTTGGGCTGGATTATACTTTTGGAGCACTCCAATAAAGTTATGCAAATCATCTGTGGTCATTATTTTTGTTTTCCTAAAGCTGTTACCCTCCCTTTGCACTTTCTTCTTTGACTTTCTTCAGTAATTGTTCCAAATCTATGTCATTTTCTGCTAGTAATATGGTGTCATCTGCACATCTTAAATTGTTGATATTCCTTCCTCCAATTCTCACACCTCCTTCCTCCAAGTCTAATCCTGCTTTATGTATTATATTTTCTGCACACAAGTTAAACAGATAAAGTGATAAAATGCAGCCTTGTCTTGTCTCCTTTGACAATTGGAAATCATTCCATTTCTCTCTGTTCTGTTCCAACAGTAGCCTCTTGTCCTGAGTACAGGTTACACATCAGGACAATCAAATGTGGAGGCACACCCATTTCTTTAAGAGCAATTCATTGTTTTTCATGATCCAATTGAAGGCTTTGCTATAATCTCTAAAGCACAAGCTGATTTTCTTTTGAAATTCTTTGGTACAGTCCATTATCCAATATATGGTTGCAGTATAATCCCTAGTGCTTCTTGTAAAGTAGGTCAGTATTAATATTTCCACATTGCAGAGGTGTGGTTGAGGATGTGTGCCCAAGGCACATAACTTTATGATAGAAGAGGTTCAGTCTTCTTGATTCATGATTGCTCATTCTCTAAACCACTATACCATACCCACAAGGTTTACAGTCATGTGTTTACAGTGGAAACTAGTCACATATTCAAATGCAAATATCATTGATTATCAAATGATGAATATGCATACTTGAGTCAGCACAAAATGATGTTCATGGTTTAGAAATGAGACTACCTTTCAGGATTTTGCCTATCTAAAAATGTTACTTGCCTCAGTCCTGAGCAAATTAAACCTTGGCACATGTTTTCAGTTGTGTTTTACATATCCTTTTTCACTTTGGGAAAACCATTTTAATACGTTTGGGGAGAGAGGTTAAATTTTTAGCACTGGTAATAATAATGTGTGTGGGTAGGGTAGGGGGGTTATTTGTTAAAACTAGAATTATTTATGTGGTCTTAACTTATCAAAACCAAAATAATAGCAATGGCTTCCTTTTTTCCCAGGCCTACCACTATAGAATCTATTAAGAGAGTTGATGGTGTTTCTGAAGCAAAATCTGCCATGTTAGAGCCTCTTCTTACAATGATCAAGGAGTTCTGTCAAACAAATAACTTACAGGTAAGATGTAACTAAATTCAGGACTGTTCTCCTCCCTACTCCTTAATTTTAGCATTCAAAGGTGAGACCATTCTGCCAGAGTTTGAATAATTTAAATGTGCATGAAAAGATATATTGGAACAACTCTATAAAAGCTGGTTAAAACAAAACAGGGTGGGATTGAGGACATTTTTAATTTTTTGTTTCAGACTCTGACCCTGCTCCTGATGCCAGAGCAATTTTGCCCTGTTTACAGAGATAATTTAAACTGAAAGTCAGCCGCTGAATCTAAAGGGAAAAAACCTACTGCAGTCTCACTACCTTCCATGCATGACACCATACTAGAGCACAGGATAAAGACTTGACAATTATAAACCTCTGTCAAATCAGACCATAACTCTCATAACCCAGCATGCAGCTTGGAGCTGTATCATTGTAGCCTCACGTTGTGTACACTGAATTGCCCCATTCTTTGCTTTGTCAGTAAGTGGCAGAAATAGCTTGCCCTCAGAACATGCATAGAAACAGAATATTTATCTTGTCAGAACTCTTATAGCTGCTCCATCTTAAGACTTCAGACACAAATACACAACTCCTCCCACTCTGTTCCTGAAACTGGTGGTGAAAGGACAAAACACTTTTAATACGTAGGCAAGGGAAGGGCAAAAGAACACCCCCAGCTGTTCATCTGGGGGATTATCAATGTACTTGTTCTAAAATTAGTTCTTCATCTTGCTGTTGTGTGCCTTCAAGTAGTTTCTGACTTCTGGCGACCCTAAAGTGAACTTATCCTGGGGTTTTCTTGGCAAGTTTCATCAGGAGGTTTGCCATTGCCTTCCCCTGAGGCTGAGAGTATGTGACTTGCCCAAGGACACCCACTAGCTTCATGACCAAGCTGGGAATCGAACCCTGGTCTCCAGAGTTATAGTCAAACATGCAAACCACTGAGCCACACTTATTTTTAAATACTTTATAGCGTATCACTTTGAAGGAATTGATGGGCATAAATGCATTCAATAAATGTAGCAGTAGTAGCAATAATAATAATATATTATTTTTATACTACCCCTCTGCATAACGCAACCAGGGTGGCTTTAAACTTTAAAATATATATTCATATCCCACAATCCCCCCCTTAAAATACAATTAAATAGTGATGATTTAAAACACATTAAAAATAATAACACAAAAAACAAAAAAATAAATAACACTAGCTACAGCTGAATCAGGGATGAGCAGGATGGCTATCTTTTGATGACTGGGATATCTATTTGGGAAAGGCCTGCTGGAAGAGATCTGTCTTAACAGCCTTTTTAAAGCTGTCTAAGGTGGTAATATGATGGATCTCATCCAGCAGGCCATTCCATAATCTGGGAGCGGTAGCCGAAAAAGTCCTCTGGGCAGTTGCAGACAATCTAGTTTTTGTCGGCTGCAACAAATTCCTCCCAGAAGACCTAAGTGTGTGGGTGGATTATACAGGAGGAGGCGGTCCCGAAGATAGGTTGGACCCAA